ATTTATTGCGCACAATTATAATTCAAAAGGTTTAATATAAGTTTTAAAGACTGCACTTTGACCATGGAGTATTAGTAAGTATTCTTACCTCCAATGACTTCGACAAAGGGATCGAAACTAGATCCAGCCATCATCGAGAGCTTTACCAATTAAGTTACCGAAATCTACTTGCCTTCCCTTTTTTCCTTCTCTTCTCCCTTCTTACACTGTGAAAGCCAGCTCCCCTTATCGAATCCCAGCGTTTTAATTTGGAGTGCGATGTCTCTGGGGCCCATACACATGCTGATTTTTGCAAAAAATAGGGCATCTGGAGAAAATTCCTACTGTATATGTATAGACGTTAGGCATTTATACACTCATCTGCAGATGACGTTATAATCACCAAAGCGATATGTAAACATAACTGAAAATAGTCAAGAGAATTTAATTAGAGAAAAAAGTTTCTGCGACATAAAATGATTCATTAAGAGCTATAGTAATATTAATGTTATGTAAAAAGGTATCAAGCTTCAGGCTATATTTACTAGAAGTAGGTTTATGACTATATTACGCAATTAGAAGTTCAAGCTAAAAACAGATACAGAGCTCTATCGTTATTCCGACATACTAATAGTTCTAACTCAGCATGTTATTAATGATGTATTACAAAAATCTTGTTTCACAAATCGAAGTTTTATCCTCTGTAAATAGAAAAAGACTGCAAAGGATTACTGAGCGGAACCGATAAGGAGGAGACGAAGATGTCATCCTTGCGCGTAAGCCTTACTAATCGCCTCAATATCGTTCCAGTTTTGGTATACAGACTGCCTAAGTAAGGAAGTAAAGAAAAAAAAATTCCTTAAATATAAAATTTGTTTTAAACATCCTAGTTTTAAGTATAGTTAGTTTATTAAATATGACTGGACACGAAGGAAAAAGGAAAACCAAAGAAAATTTCTCAAGTTTTCGAATATTAGGGAACATCTGAGTAATTATCCCATGTACTAATGCGAGTTTGCAGATGTATAGCTGATTCACAAATGCAACATACAGTAAAGTCGCTGAACATTGATAATTCGTCCGTGCTTCAAAACCCGACGAACAAGTTGGCTGCATTGGGTTTTCAGGTTTTCCTAATGAGTAACGTTAATGCGAGCCAGTTCCCTTAGAAAGTCCTCCATGAAGGCATCGCCCTCTAAGGTATATAGCCTTAGTGTACTTTTCCATAGTCTGATAACATTCAAATCTTTTTAAATTCCAGTTTAAAGCGACCGAGAGGCGAAGGCTTTTAAATATTGTTATTTACGTCATGGGTTCGATATAAGAAGGATTTTTAAGGTTTATAGAAGAAGTTAATTCTCTTCTAAGTACCTTGGGTGCATTTATGGTTTCCCTGTTATAAAACGTAACTAATACAATAAGACTTGCACAATTATGACATCTCTATCACAGTAGTTAGCCCGAGAGTGCTTTGTCGTCACATAAATAACAATCCAAGTCTAATTATTGGTTTTAAGGAAGCGAATTATAAGTTTATGCTTCTCCGGCGTGTTCATATAATCAAGTTAGTGTTTTCCGTTCGGTATGTCGTTAAGCCTCAATAGAAGTGTCTAAAACGTTTCAGATTTAAGCTCATTTAAAAAAAAATTTGTTCCTGTTTCCAGATTTATAATTGTGGAAATAAGAATTTTGTGCAATGGAAATAGTGTTATCACAGTAAGAAACAGACGATGATTTGATGATGATATCTGTGCTCATATGTCAGTCAATCATAAGAGTACTTCTTGACAAATTTTGTTGGAAAACGCCGAGCCCGAGTTTCGTGTTAAGAGGTAACTGTTAATGCAATTAAAATAACAATAACAATAACAGCAAAAACAATCACTTAAAACTCAGAGTCAGTGTGCTGGAAGTTCGCGAATATTTAGTTAAGTGTAGCGTCAATCAAAAAAGTTCGGAAGTCACTGATTTAAATAATTATATACTAAAATGACTAAAATTTTAGTAAAAGTTTTCGAGGTTCCTAGTATCACATCAAAAGAACAAGTTTTTTTTAGGTACACCAGACGTAATTCACAATAGTGAGGATAATTCTTTTTGTTCGATTATCTTTAATTAATGTATAAATAAAAACATCTAAAGCAAAGCCGACGATTTTTCCTTTATTACGAAAATTTTCTTTTAATTAAAAGAATTAAATAATGATTAATATTAATAATTAAAGAACAAAATTAAAGAATTTCAGTGTCTCATATCGGATATATTATTTTTTTAGTAAACGTATTAGTAACATTCAGAATTAGGGATAGAAAATGCAGGTCCGAAAACGTCGTTTAAGGACTCTTTTAATATTTTTCTTACTTCATAGCGAATATATCATATTTCTGCATCGAATGAAAAGAAACTGTTGGATAAGATAAAAGTAGGTTGCTTTATGAAGCAATTTACCTCGTCAGTGAGGGTTTTTGTTTAGAAAGTAATTTCTGAGAGTACTTTACTGTCACAGTTACATTACTACAGAAAAGAAAACAAGAAGAGATTTCTTGCGTGTGTGTGTGGAGGGGAAACACTACGTAGTTCGATTCGTTGCAGCCAAGCATAGAATCCGAGATAAAGTGCTAATGCTGTGCTATTCCATTTTCTAAATCAGTGTTTCCCAAGCTTTTTAGCCTCACGATCCACTCGCATGAACCTACTATTTGTTACGACTTAAACGCATATTGTTACTCTGAAAAAAAAAAGGAGATTCCTGGAAGGAGATTGATAATAAATAAACACGAAAAATTAATTAATAATTACAAACTGTTTCTTAATCATCGGCAAATGTATGTAATTACGCAATAAGAAAAAGTGCGCATCAGAACTTTTCATGACCCACCAAAAATTGTCTCCCTACTCCTGTAACTCAGTTGCAGCTGGATTTTATGATGATTAACATTTCTAACTTAAATTTAAAAAAAATGAGAATAAATTTAATGATAAGCAATTAAAAGAAAGCAATAAAAACATCAAGAAACTGGTGGATTGTTTAATTTGTTAAATATGCTTCAATTAGTTCCATTACTTGCGTAAAAGCATTTCCGATTTATTACGTTTCAGATCTTAACTTCCTGCTGTAACTCACTGCGAAAGGACTCAAAAATTATTTTATGTTCAACAAAAAAATTATTTTAAACCAGTGGTGGCAAACTGATGGCTTCCGTAGCGTTTGACCTTCGAAGCAATTTTAAACGGGCCGCCAATACATTTCCCGTAAATTAATTAGCGTTTATTATGACAAGAATTTTGAAGGTTTGTGTGATTATTGAAAAGCCTCGAGGGTTAACTGCCTAAGAGGAGGGATGCTTTCGTGGAGGACTTTCTAAGGGGAATGGCTCGTATACACTTTACACATGGGAAAACTATGAAAACGTCCATGCAGCCAGTCCGTTCGCGGGATTCAAACCTCCAAGAATTTGAAGGAGAAGTTTAAGATTTTCAATTTTACATCATTTTCATTACTATTAAAAACAAACGGGAATAACGCCTCAGAAAGTCTGAGAATGGTAACTAATTAACTTATATTGCCATATACTCGTATATCTTATTCAAAGATTTGAAGATGGAAATTTTATGAACTTTTTCTTTGTACTTGTCCAAAGATAAATACGCTCAGCTACGATGAACTTTTGCAGTAAGAATAATAATATGTTTGTGAGTACATTTACTTGTGAATAGTTTTTTTCCGGCGTTAAAAAATAATAAGAAAAGAACCAGACTGACCGATGAACATTAATAACAAGAAATAAGAAATTGAGTAGAATAAGAATTTCATAATAAGAAATTGAGAAGTTTATAATTATTTACATTCGGCTGTATGTATTTTTCTTATATGCGTCAAAGAGACATTCAGTAAATAAAAGAATGAGAATGTTTTCTTTATTTATTCTCAAGTTTTATTTCGCCTAGAAAGTTTTCATAATTTGTTTATTTCTAGTTTAAGTACGTCATTTAGTGGCTAACAGATTAAAATTAAGATTATTTAAAATAAATACAAACAACAGATTAAAATTATTTAAAATAAATATCAGTCTCGAAAATTTAATATTTAGCTGTTAGCACGTTTGAATTACAAACTGTAACCCACAGATATTTCTGGCAGGTACCGGCCTTTAGATTTCAGTCATTATTATTACTGTTTACGTGTTTTTTGATAAATATTTAGTAAATAAAATTTTAAATTTAGTCAAAAAATTTGCGTGTTTTTAACAAACTTCCCCCCCCCCCAAAAAAAAAAAAAAAAAAAAAATTGTGCCAGCTCGTCAGGTATTTTCGGATAGTGTGCGACTCGCAAGCAATCCGAGTTCAAACTATGCGACTAAAGTAGATTTTTAAAGTAATATTTTTCTACTTCAAAATATTAGGTTTAAAATTTTATTTTTTTAATATTACAAGGCGTTTTACAACAACAACCAACAACAAAAAATTCTTTTCCCATTTGCAGATTTACCTAACAGTCGTATTTGTTAAAAAACAAAACAAAACAAAACAAAAAAAACTTTCAAAATTCGCCGGTAGTACAATGAAGCACTTTTCCTATAAACGTGTTATTTCGCGGCAGGTTTCGAGGATTTCCTAACATATTTGAGCAAAAATCGCCGTCAATCCGTTTCATGAAGCATTTTCCTGTAAGCGTTCTTATGTCGCGAAAAGATCCAGCGATTACCTAATATATTTACTTCGAAACAACGAAAGAACCAACGCACAGCGTTTGACACGGTTTTATTTTAATTTACTGTTATTTACTTTAATTTACTGTTATTTACTTTATAAGCTACTGTGTTGCGGAAGCCTCCCGGTTCCGAGTAGCAGCGGATACCGCCTTTGAAACAAGTTCGTAACTTTCGTTTCACTATAGTCACGAAAGCGAGCATTCGGTACGAAGTGTATAGAATAATATATTGCAGCCAGAAGTAGCGATAGTAAGCCAAGAATAGAAGTTGACCAGTAGGGATATTTCGTCTGCGCATGCACTAAATCTCGATTTCCGGTCCTCCCACATTGCTATGGCTGCCAAGACCAGGAGATGAGTGTACGATTTTGAGATAGATGGGTATTTCTTGCTTAAATGACTAAAGATTGTGCCAAAATGGGGTGAGTTAAATACAAAATATCATTCGCGCGTTCACTATTAGACCTTATAATGCTTAAAATTTTTATAAAAACGATGCTGAGATATTTCCATGTGCAAAGTGGTTTGTGAGATGATGATCCGTGTTTCTGATGGAAGGAAAATGTTTATCGTTTTCTGACACCTATGATAATCATACGCGTTTCAGAACTGTTCAAGCCTCTGCACGTGCAAGCTGGAGGGGATTTTTGAATACAATTCTGTGTTGTGCAGGTTGCGGTAGGATTTTATAATATGAATGTATAAGCAGTTCTACTCGTAAAATATTAGCCGTGCTGTAGGGAGGCTGAGGATATTAATCTCTGTCACCAGTAAGATTTTTGAAGGAAGTTTGTTAGTCAGATTATATTTTTAATTTGAATTAAGGTCTGTTGTGCCCTTTTCTTGTTGCATAAATAAAAATGGTTATTTATTTTCACCATATACGTATTTTCAAGTATATTCAGCTGAAACATGTTGACACAAAATAAAACTTTAAATACATTTTGTGCATTAAAAAATTCTTCGTTTCTGTAATTTCAACTATGGAATCTTAAAGATAGAATTGTAAATATGCTTGTACTTGCATTACGATTTTATACAGATCGCAGCGAAGTATTTTAGTCGAGTTTTAAAGATGTAAAATGACAAATGAATGATTTAAGGTTTGTTTTCTTTATAAATGGGCGTGGTTTAATGCTGTATAAATGCTTGAAATTTTTCTAATGGAATATACTACTTGCTGTTTGGGATAGTAATGAAAGTAGTTTCTTCTTTAGTATAGCTTTTTGCTGTATATCACATACATGTGATATAGTATGAAAACTGGTGATGTGGTTATTGCTTTGCTATATTAAAATTAGTTTTAAAGTTCATTTTACTAAATATAATCCAAAATGAAATAGCATTTTATATTTCTATAATATTATCATTGCAAAATACTGATATTTTATAAAACTATTTGTTTTGCTGGGAGGGGTTTTGCATATTAAAGGAGGGAGGGGGAAATCTCCAAGCAACAGCATTTTTAGCCATTTTCATGGATAATTTTTAATAAACTTCAGTTGTATTAATTTTAAGTAATTGAATCAGCGGATTCATCCGCAGTTAAACTCAAATCAAAGGGTTTTAAAAAAAAAAAAAAAAAAAAAAAAAAAAAAAAAAAAAAAAAAAAAAAAAAAAAAAAAAAAAAAAAAAAAGAAAAAAAAAAAAAAAAAAAAAAAAAAAAAAAAAAAAAAAAAAAAAAAAAAAAAAAAAAAAAAAAAAAAAAAAAAAAAAAAAACAAAAAAAAAAAAAAAACAAAAAAAAAATTTTTTGTGTATTTTAATTTTTTTAAACAATAAAATCAATAAAAAAAAAAAAAATCCATTTTCAAAATAAGTAATAAAAGTAATTTTCTAAATGTAAAGGAATTTTTCTTTTTCTAAATGTTATTCATATTCTATAATATACATTCATAAATATAAACGTATTTGATGCTGCCAAAATATATTTAATGAGTCTTATTCATGCTGTTATTTTAAAAAAGTGAGTTAGAAATTTGAGTTGTTAAAAGTAGTTTTCAATTGAAATCAAGTATTAAACTCATGTTATACAGAATAGTTGATATATATACAATTTAAAACCATTTAATACTTGTAAAAATTCAGCAACATCCATAAATTTTAACTGCAGAAGCTTTGGTTGGAGGAAAAATAGTAGCCATATTATAGTTTATAGTTCTTTTGTAATTAATGAAAATCCATCATAAGGAAAAGAGGAAAGAATTCTTTAGCACAAGGTTTTTAATAAATGATCAGGTTTTTATTTTATATTTATGTCTTGAGAGGATTTTAATATGTGTTTAATTTTAATGTGCATCTTCATTGTTTTTCTTTAAAAAATTTTTAAGCTGTTAACATTTCTTTCAGTTGTATCACCAGTACACTATAATTTTATCAGATCATTCCCAATATTCCATGCTATTTAAGTACTAAATTCTTATCTGTTGTAAAAATAAGGCAAAAGATTGAAAATATGGTTTCTCTTTAAGTTTTATTATTCATACCGATTACAATTCTTTCTTTCTTTTTTTTTTTTTTTTCCTGTTTGATTTTCATTCAAATATATGTTTTAACTGTGCTTTTGTTATCTTTAATAAAAATAAATGTGTATAGGTGTTACTGAAGTAACTTCTCTTGTCTAATATTAGTTTAATACTCTTCAATAACTTTGGCTATTTTATTAAAAGTAAATATTAATAACAATCCCTGCATTCAGTGTTCTGTTAGTCTTTTATTGTAAGGAATTCTATGTCTTTATTTCATGTTGCATGTAAATATTTCCAGTGTTTTCTAAATTTGTCATTAACTGTTATGTTAATGACATAACAGTGTATAGAAATTCAATGTATAGAAAGCAAGTATTATCTGGTGAGAATAAAATGAAATGTACTTAGTTTCATATCAGCAACTTGATATTATGCTTTATTAAATTCGTGTTTCATTACATCATTTGCAAAATTAAAACTTTTTTGGGGTGGGAGGGAGGGATTTGAAAGAGCTTTTTTACTTAAGTATTTAAAAAAGAAATCTTATTAAAATCATGTGCCAGAGTTACAGTTTTTTATTGTAAGGAACATATAGTATAAATAAGTTAATTCCTAATTCAGAAGTCAAACAACAAAAATCAGCGTTATATTTACCAAATTTTCACAGGACTAGTTTCGATGGTTTTACCGAACCACCATCTTCAGCTGCAAACCGCAAATGAACCAGATAGGAAATAATGATTAGATAGGATAAGAAAGCCTGGATGCTTATTCTTGTCCAGGCTTTCTTATCTTATCTAATCATTATTTCCTATCTGGTTCATTTGCGGTTTTGCAGCTGAAGATGGTGGTTCGGTAAAACCATCGAAACTAGTCCTGTGAAAGTTTGGTAAATATAACTCTGATTTTTTGTTGTTTGACATCTGAATTAGTATTTATTCGGCGTGTTATTGTGTCTTAAGTTAATTCCTGTAAGTTGTGAATAATTAATTACATATTACTGAAATTTATTATTATTGCTCATTACCTTATCTTTCATTATCAGTTTTTACTTTTTCTATCTTATGTACATTGAATTAAGCATAAAAAATTGTGGAAGTACATAAATAACACTATTTCCTTGATACATTTATTTTAAATTCCTGAAAATTGTTCAGCATCTGTTAAAGATGGCGGTATTTTCGAAAGCCGTGTTTTACCAGGGCATTTAAAAATAACTTCGTTAGTTCTTAGTAGATGGCGCCACATATCAATGATATTTGCTTAGCATTTAGCCTAGCTTTTTGACAGTTATGATTCACCCCCGTATCCCGTCCTATACCTATAAATATTAAATAACTCTCGAAATAGTACATGGACAATATTTATCAGCTTTGTTTTGATCGTTTCTTCAGTGCTATGTAAAATCAAGGAACGTGTGCCAGTGACTGCTACAGGCAGGGGCAATGTTTAAATGCATATTTAAATTTTTAAACCTATATACAGATATTTTTGGGTAAATTTAGGAATTCGAGATTTTTGTTCATATAGACCTTAATTTTTGTGAGAGGAGTTCAGAATTTTACGTGTTTTCATTACGTACTTCAAATTGATTTCTTTCTGCGTTTCTGTTTCACGAAAATTGATTAAAATGCTGGCCATATGATAGCATATTAAAAGAAAACGGTAGCATTATATAATTCATAAATTTAATTAAGTCATTAACTAATTCCTTTTATTTAGAATATTGTTCTCTTAGCGTTTAAAAGATAGTGTATTTATTTGTTTACCCTTCTGAAACATCAGATATATTTTTAGTTTTTGATGAATTTTTCGTCCTTGAAATATCCATGATATAAATCATATGCCTTTTGATGATATGCCAGTCTCATATATGGTTATTTCTTTAATAAAAGATACAGGAAATAATAGCGTCGTTTGGAAAGAAATCTCAGCATTCCAGAAGTAAAGAAAACTTGATGATAATGATTGTCTCCTTCCAATTCTAAGAAGTGAGGAGTTTTCCGCCTGCTACGTTTTTTTTTTAATTATTAAAAAATGATAAATTTTCATATACGAAAACTTCGTTTCAACACAAATGCCTGCGTTTCCTGCATGTTTTTTCAGTGTACGTCTGAAATAAATAATTCTGAAAAAGAGAGAGTAGAATTATATGTTTGCTATTATTGTCTGTATTTGAACTCTAAAGAGGACTGCAACAACTGCGGAGATCTGGTTAGCTAAGTTTTAGGTGTTTACCAGTTGCAGAACGTTAAATTAAGGAAGTCTTAGCAGTATAAGACTTTGCCCACCAATAATTATTACAAGTAATAACAGCAGGAAGCCATATTAACTTATAATAGTAGTCTTGAAGAGAAATCTGTTGGCTGTTGAATATTTCATCCCCTGAATTATTGTTCAGAGTTGTTTAAATGCTCAGTGACATTATATTGACTTACGCAGTTTATTATATTGGAGCTACCTAACCTAACTCAGTTTATAGGCATTCTAATCATCATACATTGTAACTACTATTATAAATTAATATCGCTTTCTGATGTTATTATTTGTAATAATTGTAGTCTTAATCTATTTAATTTGTTGCTATTTTAATTTTGTGCATTGCTACATTTATTATTCAATAGCCTGTAAAAAATACAGGTGTTTAACAGAATATTATAAGGTTGGTAGATTTAGCCGGTCGCAAAATTATTTCCATGATGTTTAAACGCTAAACCACTTTCGGTTTCAGGCCTCGCAAAACTTGTTTTTTTTATAGATCATATCTGCCACGGAAGAAAAAGAAACACTTTTTATACTCCAATGAAATATATATCCTTCCAGATTTTAACCTTGAAGACGCTTGTCGTCCCAAGAAGCAAAGTAATTCCATTTCATTTTTTCGAAATCGAATTCGCAATTTTTTTCGATGAGTCTCCATTTAAACTGTAGACTTACTCTGTAATCGAGTAGAAG